CATTGACCCCAAATTGCAGTCTCTTGACCTTGAAGGCCCCCCTGTGAGTTACAATAGTCTGGGCCTCTGCAGCCGCCTCATCAACAGGTAGCTCTTGATAGGCCTGTGCCAGATCAAGTTTCGCAAAAATGCGCCCCCCCATGAGGGAGGCCAGGATGTGGCTTACAACAGGGACTGGATAAGCATGCTGTTGCAATGCCTTATTCAGTGTACACTTGTAGTCTGCACATATACGTATTTCCCCATTAGCCTTTAGAGGTGTTATTATGGGAGTTTCCCATGGACTAGAATCCACAGGTTCTAAAATGCCCCGCTGGAGCAATTTGTCCAGTTCAGCATCTTTCTTACCTTTGAGGGCAAAAGGTACCCTCCTAGGCTTAACCCTGATAGGTGTGATGGTTGGGTCTAACCGTAGCAAAATGGGAAGCCCCTTGTAGGATCCTAGCTCTGAAATAAACACATCTGCAAACTCCTTGCAAACCTCTGCAAGGCCCAGCGTTTTCAAACTGTGCAGCCCAGTTACCTGGATTCCCAGAGCCTCGAACCAATCGAGTCCAATAAGACGCGTATGATTGCCCCCAACAACCACCCACATCAAGGGAACCTTCAAAATCCTTATACTGTACCCTAAGGGTGGCCTCCCCCTTAACACACACCATAGAATTTTGAAAGTCAGTATTAGATTCGATGGCCTGAGTTTAACTCGAAGGCCACTACTGTTGCAAATCCTTTTAAAGATATTAATTGAAATAATGGAAAGAGCAGACCCTGTGTCCAACTCCATTAGTAAGGGAACTCCTTGAAACCTTACGTTAAGGGAAAGTTTCTTCTTAAGGGGCTTGTGTGTCCCTGTTCTTAGAATGTTCCTGCCGATGCGCAGAAACCCACCCTGTTTTGGCTGGGGACCCTGGTACCTTTCTGAAGCAATTCTTCCCGAGGTTGAACCTTCTGGCGACCCAAACCTTACAATGCAATGTGGCCCTGCCTGCTACACGCCCTGCAGATGGCGAAGTGAACCTGCAGTCAGCTCGATTGTGGCGTCCTCTGCATCCAAAGCATTGAAGGGCCTTGACCGGACGTCCCTTCTGCCTCCTCTCAGCTGGCTGGTGAAGTCTGTCGACCTCCTCTTCAGGATCCACTTCTGATCCTTCTCTAGTGTCCTCTTGATGGACGGTAGCTGTTTCTGGAGGATTCCTGGCGAGGCGCAAGGCCTTCATAGCCCTGCCTGCTGCTTCCTCAGCTGCCACCTCTTGCAACGCATCTTGGAAGGAGACATCTTCTTTTGCAAAAATCTTTTGTTGTAAGTCTCTGCTCCTTAAGCCGCAGACAAAGCAATCTTGCAGCCTCTCTTCCAGATCCTTGAACTCACAAGGCCTGGCTGCTTGCCTTAAGGCCGCAATAAAGTCCGCAGCAGATTCACCTGGCCTCTAGTCTCTCTGCTCAAACGCATGCCTCCAAGCAAGTGTTGGCTGGAAGTGTTCCTTCAACATTTTCTTCAAGTCAGCATATGCTACTGTCTCCAGAGGTGCAGGGGCCACCAGATTTTCTGCAATGTCAAAAGCTTCTTGTCCACAGGCACACAAAAGAGTGGCTGCCTTCAGGCCGTCTTCTCTAATCTGATTTACTCTGAAGTAATTCTCTACCCGTGCTTCGTAGGAATTCCATCTCTCTGGGTGGGAGACATCGAAATCAGTCAAGCGGCCAATCTTCAGCATCGTAAAGTTTACGATCTTCACTACTCGCTTCCTCTGCAAGCTGCTGTTCGAGGAAAGGGTCTTTTAGCCGAGCTCACCCTCCAGCGACGCTATACTGGCTGGGACGCTGATTCAGATGCTGTCTTCCTGGGTAAGTCCTTAAATCTTTTTCTTTGGCTTGCAAAGGATCCCACCTTCGTCGCCAATGTTGTGTTCTCTGTTCGCGTGCGAATGATGAAGACTCATGGTGGCAAATAACAATGCTTTATTCTCCTACTCCAACTCCAAGCAAAAAGCAAAAGGCATGCAGGCCTTTTTATAGGCTTGAACCCCGGACAGCGTGAACCAATAAGAGTTCTTCTTTCTTCGTGCCTTGCGCATGCGCACAAGGCTGGCACCGCTCTGTCTGGTCCTGGGCAGCTTTTAGAATGTCTGGGACCATTTGGAACAATTCTGGGCCTCCTGAGTTTCCTCATCAGGCCCAGGACACAACAGGTACAAAGAAAAAATATCTGCTGCGAATTCCATGTGGTGAATTAACCATAATATTAACCATGTGTAATGAATTAATCATAATATAGAGTTCAAGAGAAAATACATTTCTAACTAATCCTCACATCAATGGTCTATAAATATTTTATTAATTATCAACATAAGTATAGATGTTACTTTACACACTGATAAAATACAATAATGCTATTTCAATGAGATGATAGTGCATGGAGGAAGAGAGTAGAATCCTTGTTCAGAGAGTAATATACACAAAAAATCAGAATAGAAACAAATTGCTTTTGCAAAACAACTTTTTTAAAAAAAGTTTGGTGTTTCAACATTAGGCAATTAGCAAGAAATTGATATTTACTTAAATGAAATCAGGTTGGAAAATATCATAGGAATATAAGAGAACATGTTATCCTGGTCTGTACCATGACATTTTTCAAAAGATGGCAATGGCAAAGCAGTTCCATAGTGTTGCCAAGAAAATGTTATGGATGTGTCAGTGAAGTCAACAAAAGTTGAGCTAGGTTTAAAGACTTACCTTAAAATACAGTATATGCTCAGCAGCTAAATTTACTGAAGTAACATATGAGATACAGCAGAATGGGGTTTTTTTAGGTTTCTGAGCTGAAGTGGAGAGTTCTGTAGAGTTTAAATAAGAACATAGATGTAGAGGAAATAATGGAATGGTGGAATGATGAGAAACACTGAGTTATGGATAAACTAATGAAATGGGGTGGTTAATTGCGCTGTATGTCAATAAGAGCATAGTATAATATAAAAATATTCATACAGTGTTCTGTTAGAAGACATAGAAAATCAGCTTCTGAAGACGGCATCTACTTATTCCATTTAGCTGCGGGGAATAATTATAAAGAGGGTAACGAAGATTATCTTGATGGAGATATACAAGATACATTGCCTAGGCAAAAGGGATTGAAGCATTTTAAAATCAAAATAACACATGGAAGCCTCTCTTTCATTGAAAAATGAGAATGAGGTTGAAGAGAAACAGCAGTTAAACTTGAAAGGTTTTTTTAAAATAGTTAGTTTCAAGTTCTAACCTTCCTATGGAATTGATTTCCTGGCCTGAGCTACCTACCTGGGGCTGATAGGATACAGGAATATTTTCCTTGATGTGCTATTTATGTAGTTGTTTACAGATGCAAGTAGATGTTAGCTAAGGGATAATAACTATAAGCTGGAAAAAATCAGGTAAGCTGGAAGTCTTATTTCAGTACTTAAAAACCTTCAGTATTTTCATATATTTATAGTACTGTTTGCATAGGAAGTTACCCAATATTTTATTTTTCTGAGAATTATCATAGGACAATTTAGATATGGCAGGGTATTGGCATTTTTTTCCAGTAAATTTTCCAGTAGAAAATTGTCAGCAAAAATTCAAGAGTGTCAGCTGATACCTGATTTTTTTTCACTATTTAGTGATTAAACTATAGCAGCTATTTAAAATTTCTGAAATACATATTTCAGAAGGCCATACTATTGTAAAGACTTCTTAATAGAACAATTAGAATTGTAACTATTGAATTCTGTCAGTTTTTGTAAAAACACAATCTACAACATTAGATATTGACATACTATAGAAATGGGACATTTCTGCCTAAGCAGATACATCATTTTCTTGGAGGACCACTCTGAACTGTGACCATACTCATGGTTCTTAGGGATTAAACAATTAATTGAGCACAAATTCAGTAGCCCTAAATTCATATTTAAATAGTTCTTTGTTGCTACTCTGTTCTTAGATGGCCAAATTATTTACATTGCTAAATAAGTTAATGCTAAATGTAGTCAATAAAAGTTAGGCTAAATAGATTAAGGACATTTCGGTTTATCTTAATTTTTGATGTTTTGTAATTCTAATTTAAAACAAAAAATCTTATTGTTCAACATTTTAAAGATAACAAATTAAAATGCACATTATATTATAAAGAAGAGTAGTAGGAGCAGATATTTTCTTCAACATTTGGCTTTGAGCTTTGTATAGATATTCATCACAAACCAAACTTTCCCATTTTGTTTTTAACATTTTTATAAAATAATACAACTATCAGTCTAAATTTATTTTTTATTAAAAATAATTTTTGCTAATTTCAGTAGAATTTAAACTACAAGTATACATAGAATTAGATTAGCATTTGTTCTCTGAAATAAGCCACAATAAGTACGCTGTACCTTTGAAGTATCTTTAGAACTGCAGATTTTTTCAAATGAACAAAACCTTTGGTAACTTTTTTGTACACTTGACAAATATTTTTAGAAAGTTTACAATTTATTTAAGGCAAAAAGTATAGTAACTTCTTTTAAAAGATCAGTAAAATAATATACACAAGATTGATTAATGAGACTAATAATTTTAAATATAAGAACAAATTCTTGCATTTATTATATAGAAGAGAGCATTGAAGGAAGAGAAATAATATATGTGAATTAAGAATTTCTATAATAGCTTCCTTCCCAATTTCCATGGTAGAAATGAATTAATATCATACTACAGTTATTTTCTTATTGTAAAATCTGTCTCAGAAAATATGTAGAAAAGCTGCAGTTAAATATCTTTCTTATTTATGGTTTTCAATTCATATACAAATGAACACTACCATGTTTAAAGTTACATATACTTTACATACTTTGAATTGCAGTAATTCAAAAATAGTATTCTATTGATAAGCTATATAATGTTTAATGGAAGTGGGAGAATAGCTCATCATAATTTGTCCAAAAGTCCACAGACAAATTATTGGGCCCTTTTTTATTGTGGTGTGAACAAATGAATACATCTTTTGTAAATAAATAAGAAACTGAATACTCTGAATCCTAATGAGCAGAAAACATGTCTTCATGTCTAGAGCAATATTTATTTAAATATATATATTTCTGGAAAGCATCAAAGATCAATAACATACACTTTAGCTAGGAGAAAGATAATAATCAATAAAAGTAGCAAAAGATAAGACAAAATCTATTTATACTACTACAGGCAAGCAATGAAGATTGTGAAGGAGACATTCTGCGCTAGGACGCTTGGCTACATCAGCTCCCCAACAGTTTTCAATTATTGTCTCTAGTTGTTGGCCAGTGGCTGAACCTTTAAACACAGCTGCATTTAGAGAGGGACGCAGGTTACATGCTACCACAGAGTAAAGTATATACTGGCGCTCACCCAGATAAGGCTCTTGCTGTGTTACCATTTGCCAGAGAGTAATAGCAAAAGAATAGATATCTGCCTTGGTTGTCATTTTCTCACCTTTAAGTAATTCAGGAGCACGATGTGTGTACGTTCCTCCTTGATGACAAATATATAGTCCTGATGATTCACTATCTTCTAACTTTTGGGAGCATCCAAAGTCTCCAATCTTGCAAACATTATGTTCTGTGATGAATATGTTAGCAGGTTTTAAATCCAGATGCACAATTAACTGAGAATGGAGAAATATTAACCCTGCCACAATATCATGAGAGTAAATGACAGCCTGAGCTGTACTCAAAAACCCATGGTCACATTTAAGGATATCATTGTTATTTCCTGTTAAATAGCCAGTCCCATAGATAACATGATGTAGAGTGCAATTACCTGCATATTCCATAATTATGGTACCCAAACTATCCTGACTAGCAGGGGTACATGTGCTAGCAGCTACTATGCGTACCACATTGTTATGGTCAAGACGTACTACATTAAGTTCTGCCCAGAAGCTTTGCCGTGATGCCAAATGGTTCTTACTGCATCTCTTCACTTGTTTTACAGCCACTGTAGCTCCATGGTAAATTGCCTTGTAGACAGAACCAAAGCCACCAGAGCCCAAGAGATGCAAGAGACATAACTGATCCCAATCGATTGAACACCATGCTAAGTGGGGGGGTAGCCGACGAATCCTAGACACACTTCCCACCCCAAAGAACTTTTCTCCTTTGGCAGGACAGACCAAAGGGCTACTGCAGGGTCGTGCATTCACAGATGGAGAAAATTCCAGGTGGAGGAGACGATTAAGAGGAAGAGGGGATGGCATGATTATCTAAAGAAAAGATTAGGCAAAACTAGATTAACAAAGACGGAAAATGTTGCCTTCTGAAATAAAAAGTAAAAGCAAATTCAACATTCTTCTATTCTTTTGCATCCCAAGTTATTATATATACTGTTCATAAATGCTATTATCAAATAATAAACAGCAATCAGTTTCAGATGATAGGTAAAAATAAAGGTTTCCCTGTCTAGTCATGTCCGACTCTAGGGTGCGGTGCTCATGTTTGTTTTTTTGGCTGAGGAAGCCAGTGTTGTCCAAAGACATTTTCCATGGACATGTGACCAACATGACTATATACCAAAGGCATATGGACTGTTGTTACCTTCCCACCAAAGTTGTATTTATTAATTTAATTGCATTTGCATGCTTTTCAATTGTTAGGTGAGCAGGAGCTGGGGTAGAAACGGGAATTCACCCCGTTGTGCAGCACTTGAGTCTCAAACCCAGACTGTCAACTTTCCAGCTGACCTCAGTTTTTTTAACTGCTGAGCTATCGCACCTCCTTTATGATAATTAATATAATTCCTTAATAACTTTGTTTCATACAGGCTAAATTACAACCTAAAACAGATGTGCATCATGTTCTAGAAAAGTATTACTACAAAATCTATGTTCTTCAATTTCATAGTAATTACTCTTCATATACTTGACAACAACATTTTTATGATGTAAATCACAAACCATATTTCTTTCTGGAACTGGGGCCACAAACAGTACAACAGTCCATTATATGCTTTTTATAGATTCATTTTAAATTTCAACACAATTCTCTGCCAGTTTTCTTATTTTAAATTGTATGGCAGGTAAACATCTGCAAGTATTTCACTCTTGTGAGAAAGAAGTCAACTCTTTGCATTTTTGGGCAGCAGTTAAAAGCAAAAAGTCCACCTGGAAGTGATAATTTTATGGAGCTACACAACTGAATAACAAAGTATTACCTGTAGTTTTAGAGAACATAGGTTGTTTATAAACTACAATTCTGAGTATTTTAGGTATTTTTCTTAAACAAATACTATGGATGAAATTAATAAAAGGAATTGTTCATCCATTTGATGTTACAATTTCTTCATTAACAACTCCCACTCCCTTTTATAAACCAAAATGGTAACCACTGGCACTAATAACAGTTTTCTTTCAGAGGTAAATTGCTTCAGCAGGAATCTTGCTGAGATCAGAACAGCAGAGATCAAAGGGTTACTTCTTTCCTTGACTGGCCTTTCAGTAGCTGCTGAATTGTAAATTACTGTAAAAGTGAGCCTCAGAGGGGCAATTGGTAAGTAGTCACTGATCAATATAATACATGTTTTACAAGTCAAATTGTAAAGTCCAAGTAGGAACACAAAAATGAACATAGATAAAAATGCTTTGTTAGTAGGAGTCATAAAACAAGAGAAACTCAAATGCATAACTCGTCATAAGAATCCCCATAACTGATCAATTTAATAAAATAGTATATTTATAAACTGCTTAAATATATAAATATATTTAAAACATAGGCAGTAACATGCTATAAAACATAGGCAGTAACATGCTTTTAAACTTTTAAAATTTGAAATACTAGAAAATTTAAGTTTAAGACCTACTTATTGTAAGCTACTTTATCAAATTCTTTACTCAGGTAACAAATAGGTGCTAATCAGCTTCCATGAGTTCTGTGATATAATAAAAAATCCTTTTTTTTTTTTTTTTTTTTTACCTTAGCTAAGTTTGATGCTCCTTAAGGGATCTTCATATTCAGCATGGTGTTAGAATTTTGCTACTTCCTTTGTAGTGTTTGGATCTTTATCTCCAAATAGATACTTATATAAGTTCAAAGTTCAATAAGTTCTGTTGAGCAACAATAATTTCTGATGATCCATTTCTGCATGGACAAATTTTTTTGTTATAAAGAATATTAACCCTCAAGGATTGTTGATGAGTGACTATCAAAGCAAGAATGAAAACTCTGTGATCCTTTGGGAGAATAAGTTGTTTGAGATACCAAGCTACTTATGTAGTAAACTAAATAGCTATTACTTCAAATAAATTATGTTTTGATCTTCTTAACCTGGGTTGGACAGAATCAAATACAGATAACTGACTTCCTAATCCTAATTATATTCCAAAAAGGGATTGGGTTAGAAGTTTGGCCATGAAACATTTATTGGTAGTTTGCATATGTTATGTTTAACAGCATATCAAATTTGATCCTTTGTTCAACAGGTCTGTAACCAATCTCCTTTTCTTAAAAGAGCTAATTAGTTAATATACAATTATACTAATTCTTTTTTATTTCCTTTGTACAATAGTTATCTTTTATAGTAATAACAAAATAATTATACTTTTCTACTTGCTAGTTGTATGTTAATTTGTTATTGATTCAAGTAGAGAATTTGTGGCTTTCATGTTATTTTGCATTCATTGCATTACAACCAATGTTCTGTGTCTTGCAAAAATAAAGAGAACAAAAATGCTATTAGTTCTTAGTGGAATTGCTTATTGTTATGTGGTAGCATTTGTGAAGCTATGTAACTTTTTCAATGTATAATTAAAAATAAAAATAGACGGAATAAAAATTCTACAAAAGCCAAACATGTTTAATGCTTAGTCTCATGGGAACTTCTATATCAATGGTGGCGAACCTATGGCACAGGTGCCAGAGACGGCATTCGGAGCCCTCTCTGTGGGCACATGTGCCGTTGCCCCAGATTTGCCTCCCCCCACGACCCCCTCCTCTCCAGCAGCCTCCGAAGGAGTCACCCCCGAGCGTGGCCCACACAGAGCAGTGCAGCCAAGGACATGGCAGCCAGGCAGCGTATACAAGACTTTGCCCTCACGACCCATCATGCAGTTGATGCTGCAGGGTGCGGGCAGAGAGCGGCTGCCACAGGGCTGCTGGGCTGCCTGGGCGATCTGCGGCGGGCCCTGGAGGCAGTAAGTGGTCCTGTGGGCAGGCGGGGTGGGGGCAGAGTGGGGGCAGGCAGGGGGGTAGAGCATACCCCTGCTCTACCCAGTTTTTGGGCACTCGGTCTCTAAAAGGTTCACCATCACTGTTCTATATCTTTTAAAAACAAATGCACATATTTCTCCTTGAAGAATCCCCCCCCCAAATAATGTTTTAATTGGCCATAATGGATCTTCAATGAAAAAAACTCTTGATTATATTTTTCTAGTTCTCCAGAATGGACATAATCTTCCATGTAGAGTAAGGCAGTAGGTAGAATGCTATTCCTAACTCTAAATAATTATTTCCTTTTCTTAACATGCTCACACAATTCACAGATTTCCAGCTGTTCATGATGATAAATATTTTGGAACTATCTTAGGAAGCTGATTTTGATTTGTAATTCTACATTTCCAGCTTTTATATATGCTCATTTTGGTTTGATCAATTATTCTTTAAATCAGGGGTGTCAAACTCACAATGTCACATGATGTGTCGCGACGTATCATGATTTTTTTGCCTTTGCCAGCAATTGGATGGGCATGGTTTTGCATCCGGCCCGTGGGCCGGCAGTTTGACACCCCTGCTTTAAATAGACCAATGTTGGCCAATTTATTTTCTACAATCAAGGCCAATGGATAAGCATTGTTATCCATTAAAATGAGAGGTGCAAGTTTCAATGAAAGAAACAAAACTAATAACTCAAAATTTCCTCCAAGCCTCATGTTCAGTTTTGGGCATACCTATTTCAAGTCTGATGCCTTCATTAGAGATTAATGCAGCAAGCATTGACCTCAAAAATTTAGTTTATAGGACCTTGTTGGGAATGTTCTTAACAAAGTCAACATGTGTCACAAGATTTTGCTCTGTTCAAGAGTTTGACCTCAGTTTAATGCCTGCAGGAATAGACTTTTCTGATACAGAAGAATCTTCTAATGTAATTGATGTACATATGAGCTTTCCAGGATGCTGAGATATGGAATATTGTCCTAAGGTATTTGAATGAGAATGCTTTGTCTCATAAGCACTCTCACATAAATTAAGGTTTAATTTATGAAGATCACAAAAATAGGTAATAAAATTTCAGTGTTCTTCAGTACAAGAGAGACCACTGACTAAACTTGAAGGTTTATTCCCAAGGTTTTCAAAGGATCTATTGGGTCTTTGGAGTTCAGTCAGTTAATGGCATATCATTAACACTAAAAGTCATTTAAGGATTTGGAGAACGAATGTGTTACTAGTCTAATGATTCTCAAAATGAAAGGACCTTAATGGGAAAAAAGCCCAGTTATGTTCATAACAGTTAGCTTTCTGACTTTGGGTGTAGAGTTTGGATGTAGGTAATGAATTGAATCCAATCTTAGGCAAAATAGATTTGGAAACCATGTCTGCATTAGACTTAGTTGATCTTTCTTTGGAAGATAATTGTGTGTTTGAGGATGCCCTGCAACAGATGTGGCTAATCCACAATCTCCTGTTAGATAAAAGGAATCTAGCAATAGATATGTATTTGACTTATTTAAATATCAAATACGATAAAACATTCTTAAATCTTACCTTTGAAAGAATCCACTCTTGGAAAAATGCAGCCCTTGGAGCTTTAGAACTTCTACTTTGGAGTGCATGATTCAGATTTGGTTAACTTATACAACTCTAAGTTAACTACTTTAAATTGGTTCCAAGAACAAGTCAAAGCAATGTTTACTGTAGAAAACTGTAAGCTTTTGCAGAATTGGTTCCTCTTTCCGATTATATTTATCACCTGAAGCCTTGTTCTTAATTTCCGGTGGTCTGGTTGAAGAATTTACTCTGAGATAGGTCACCAAAGAATTCCTTCTAAGAGAATCTTACCTGGCCTTCTGTTAACTCTCACTGAACTAAAGAAGTAATTTTTTTGCTATGTATTTGGGGTTCTTATGCTGCCTTATACTTTAATAGCTACTCTCTTTCTAAAACTTTTGGTTCTGCAGCAGGTTATGATGCTAAACTAGAAACTGAGAAATTGTAAATTCTAGTCCTATTATAGGAATGGAAGCTACAAGTAGTAGTAGATGTATAGCTACAAATAGTAATAATGTATAGCTACAAGTTGCTGTAAAAATTCCTATACTGGAGATAGGATTGGGTTGGATGATGTTCAAGATGTTTTATGATCGTTATATTAATTATTCTGTCATTTAAATTTTATCGATCTTTTAGAATTAATATTACATTATGATGAAAAGCAATGATGACTTCAAGTATCAGGGATGGCTTTTTAAAGAACTGCCATTTCCTATTATAACATGATTACAAATGTTAAGCAGAAAAAGCCCAAAC